AAGGGTCGTCTGGAAAATCCTATTTTCTTGTTTTTAGACAAAGCAAGTGGCACGCCTAACATCCAACTCACGTGGTAAAGGCTGGCTGAGGATTTTTGAGGAAACACAAGGTAAATAAGCAAGTTCTGGTTTCATTCTCTATTGGACGATATAAGGATGAGGTACTGTGCGACGTGGTTCCCATGCATGCTGGACATTTACTTTTGGGGAAACCATGGCAATATGATAGGAGAGTAATACATGATGGCTTCAAAAATCGCTATTCGTTCATCATGAAAGGGAAAACAATTACTCTTGCACCATTGAGTCCAAGGCAGGTTTATAAGGATCAACTAAGAGTAAAAAAAGAGAGTGAGCTGAGAAATGAGAGTGAGCTTGAGGGTATGAAAAATAAAGAGAAAACAGTAGAAAAAGAGTCCAAAAAGAGAGAAAAGATTGAGAGTGTTGAAAACAAAGAGAGAAAATCAGTGAGTGTTTATGCAAAAGAAAGTGATGTCAAGGTTGCGTTCTTTGCAAACCAGCCTATGTTTGTGCTTCTGTATAAAGATGCTTATTTCAACACTAACAAACTTAATGATTCTTTGCCTAGTGTTGTTAAATCTCTTTTGCAAGACTTCAAGGATGTGTTTCCAGATGATGTTTCTAATGGTTTACCACCAATAAGAGGAATCGAGCATCACATTGACTTCATTCCTGGTGCAACAATTCCAAACCAACCAGCATATCGAAGCAATCCCAATGAGATGAAAGAACTTCAAAGGCAGGTCAAAGAACTCATGAAAAAGGAACATGTGAGAGAAAGCATGAGTCCATGTGCAGTTCTAGTGCTACTTGTGCCTAAGAAGGATGGGACTTGGCGTATGTGCGTTGATTGTCGCGCAGTCAACAAAATCACTGTAAAGTATCGTCACCCTATTCCTAGATTAGATGACATGTTAGATGAGTTGCATGGTTCTTGCATATTCTCTAAAATTGATTTAAAGAGTGGATATCATCAGATTAGGATGAAAGAGATGAAGGGAAAACAACCTTTAAAACGAAACATGGTTTATATGAGTGGTTGGTTATGCCATTTGGATTAACTAATGCGCCTAGTACATTCATGCGATTAATGAATCATGTTTTGCGTGCTTTCATTGGCAAATTTGTGGTTGTTTATTTTGATGATATTCTGATATGTAGCAAGAATTTAATTGAACATATTGAGCATGTGCGAATGGTACTAGAGGTGTTGAGAAAAGAAAAGTTGTTTGCTAACCTTAAAAAGTGTTCCTTTTGCACAAATCAAATTGTTTTTTTAGGGTATGTTGTTTCAGCTGATGGAATC